CAGTGGGGTGCCATTGCCTTCTCCAACTGTATAACTTATGGAACAACAAAAAAAGAAGAACAGCTAAACCCAAAGCCAGCAGAAGGAAGACAATAACAAAGATTAAGAGCAAAGATAAATGAAATTGATAACAGAAAAACAATAAAGAAAATCAATGAAACCAAAAGTTGCTTCCTAGAAAAAGATCAACGAAATTAACAAACCTTTAGCTAGATGAACTGAGAAAAATAAGAAGACTCAAATTATTTGAAATCAGAAATGAAAAGGGGGACATTACTACCAATTCTACAGAAATAAAGAGGATTGTGAGAGATAACTATGTACAATAGTACACCAACAAACTGAATCACCGAGATGACATGGATGAATTCCTAGAAACATAAAGTCATCAAGATTAAATCACGAAGAAGTAGAAAATCTGCATTGACCTATAACTAGTTAGAAGATTGACTCAGTATTCAAAAATCTCCAACAAAAAAAATCCTGGATCTGATGGCTTCACTGGTGAATTCTACCAAACATTTAAAGAATACCAATCCTCCTGAAACTTTTCCAAAAATTGAAGAGGAGACACTTACCAACTCATTCTATGAGGCTAGCACAATCCTAAAAACAAAGTCAGAAAAAGACCCTACAAGAAAAGAAAACTACAGATCAATATCCCTTATGAACACTGATGTAAAAATCCTCAAAAAATATTAGCAGACAGAATTCAGAGGCATATTAAAAGGATTATACACCAGAACACAGTAGGATTTACTCCTGGAATGGTAGTAAGGATGGTTCAGCATATATAAAGATATATCAATGTAATATGCCACATTAACAAAAGGGAAGAAAAGCCACCTGATCATCTCAATTGATGCAAAAAAGCATTTAATAAAATTCAATACCGTTTCAGGGTAAAAAACACTCAGCAAAATAATAATAGAAGTAAAATACCACCACATAATAAACTCTATTCATGACAAAACCACAGCAAACACAATACACAATGGTCAAAGACTTAAAGCTTTTCCTGAAATCAAGAAGGATGCCACTTTCTCCACCCTATTCAACACAATTACTAGGAGTTCTAGCCACAGCATTTAGTAAAGAAAGAAAAATTAAAGGCATCCAAATTGGAAAGGAAGATCTGTTTGCAGATATGATCTTACATATAAAAATTCAAGATTCTACTAAAAAACTGTTAGAGCTAATAAATGAATTCAGCAAAGTATCAGGTTACAAAGTCAGCACACAAAAGAAAGTTGTATTTGTATACACGAACAATTAATAATCTAAAAAGAAAATTACAAAACCAATTCCATTTACAATAGCATCCAGAAGAATAAAACACTTAGGAATTAACCAAGGAGGAGTACAATGGAAACTATAAAACGCTGCTGAAAGAAATTAAAGAAGACATAAATAAATGGAAACTCATCCCATGTTCATGGATTGAAAGACTTTTGTTGTTGTTCAGTCGCTCAGTTGTGTCTGACTTTTTGTGACTCCAAAGACAGCAACACACCAGGCTTCCCTGTCCTTCACCATCTCCCGGAGTTTGCTCAACTTATGTCCACTGAGTCCGTGATGCCACCCAACCATCTCATCCTCAAGACTTAATACTGTTAAAATGTCAATACTACTGAAAGCAATCTACATATTCAAAGCAATCCCTATCAAAGTCCTAAAGGCATATTTTTTGGTAAAAATAGAAAAACCCATCCTAATGGTATCTCAAGTGACCACAAATAGCCAAAACAATCTTGAAAAAGAAGAACAAAACTGGAGTATTGCAAAGCTATAATAACCAATTACAGTGTGGTATTGGCATAAAGATAGACATATAGACCAATGGAAGGGAACAGAGAGCCCAGAAATAAATTCTCACATGTATGGTCAAATGATTTTTGACAAGGATGTCCCAAGAGTGTTAATCAGGGAAAGGACAGTCTTTTCAACTAATAGTGTGAGGGAAACTGGATATCCACATCCCAAAGGATGAAGTTAGACCCTTACCCATACCATATATGGATCAAGGACTTAAATGTAAAACCCAAAACAACAAAACTCTTAGAAGAAAATAGGACAAAAGCTTCATGACTTTGGACATTGGATTCTCTGATGACATCAAACTCACAAATAACAAAAGAAAAAACAAATTCATCTTCATGAAAATTTTAAAATTTTGTGTATCAGAAGACATTATTCACAGAATAAAAAGGCAATCCACAGAAAGGTAGACAATATTTACAAATCATATATCTGATAAAGGGTTAATCATCAGGTGGCTCAGTGGTAAAGAATCCACCTGCCAATGCAGGAGACACAGAAGATGTGGGTTAGATCCCTTGGTCAGGAAGATCCCCTGGAGTAAGAAATGGCAACCCACACCAGTATTTTTGCCAGGAAAAGTCCATGGACAGAGGAGCCTGCAAGCTGCAATCCATGGGGTCTCAAAGAGTCAGACATGACTAGACACGCATGCAACCAGAATACAGACAGAAACTCCTAAAACTCAACGACAAAAAAACAAGTCAAATCAAAAATGAGTAAAGGACTTGGATAGACATTTATCCAAAGTAGATGCATAAACGGCCAATAAGCACATGAAAAGATGGAAAGTATAATGATAGTTGTCAGGGCCTGGCAGGGAAGGGAAAATGAAAGTTATTGTTTAATGGAGAGAGTTTCTGTTTTACAGGATGAAAAGAGTTAATGGGGAGAGATTGTGAGGTCGGTTGCACAACAATGTGAAATGGACTTAATACCACTGAACTTTATACTTAAAAATGGGTGGGAGAGTAAAGTTTGTGTGTATTTTACCACAATTAAAAAAAAAAAAAGGAAAAATAAATAAATAGCCTTCCTGGTATCCAGACAACATAGTGTGTGTTAGTCCCTCAGTCGTGTCTTACTTTGCGACCCCATGGACTGTAGCCTGGCTGTCCATGGAATTCTCCAGGCAAGAACACTAGAGTGGGTTGCCATTTCCTTCTCCATGGGATCTTCCTGACCCAGAGATTGAACCCAGGTATCCCGCACTGCAAGCAAATTCTTTACCGTCTGAGCCATCAGGGAACCCCAGGCAACAAAAGGACAATATTAAACGGTTTTTAAGAAATACAAAAACAAACAAGAATCAGGTCAGCCTGAAAGATCAATTTGGCAGTTGCAGAATGACAGCAGGATCTCCCCAGGAATGCAAAAAATGTGTGAACTGTGGGCAATTTCAGAAATCAAAAGGCCAAAATATTTAGAAAAAGATCTACGTGAAAATAAGAATCTGCAGCCAGAGTCAAAGGGGACCAGGGACTAAAATAGGATAATTTCATTTTGAAAATCACTGAATACATTGTGCTATTAATAACTGTGCTATTCTGCTCTCAAAAGCAGCTCTATCTACATAGAGTATGCTAGAGTGGACCTAGCCCTTGGCAAGACCCACCTGGTACAGATGTTGCTGTTCTCTTGCTCAGTCATATCCGACTCTTTGCAACCCCATGGACTGCACCACGCCAGGATTCCCTGTCCATCACCAACTCCTGGAGCTTGCTCAAACTCATGCCCATCGAGTCGGTGATGTCATCCAACCATCTCATCCTCTGTCGTCCTATTCTCTTCCTGGCCTTCAATCTTTCCCAGCATCAGGGTCTTTTCCAATGAGTCGACTCTTGGCATCAAGTGGCCAAAGTATTGGAGCTTCAGCTTCAGCATTAGTCCTTCCAATGAATATTCAGGGTTGATTTCCTTTTCAGATTGACTCTTTTGATCCCCTTGCAGTCCAAGGGACTCTCAAGAGTCTTCTCCAACACCACAGTTCAAAAGCATCAATTCTTCAGCGCTCAGCCTTCTTTACATCCAACTCTCACATCTGTACATGACTACTGGGAAAACCAAAGCTCTGACTATACAGACCTTTGTCGGCAAAGTATTGTCTCTGCTTTTTAATATGCTGTCTAGGTTGGTCACAGCTTTTCTTCCAAGGAGCAAGTGTCTTTTAATTTCATAGCTGCAGTCATCTGCAGTGATTTTGTAGCCCAAGAAAATAAAGTCTGTCACTATTTCCAATGTTTCCCCTTCTATTTGCCATGAAGTGATGGGACCAGATGCCATGATCTTTGTTTTTTGAATGTTGAGTTTTAAGCCAGCTTTTTCACTCCTCTCTTTCACCTTCTTCAAGAGGCTCTTTAGTTCCTCTTCACTTTCTGCCATAAGGGTGGTGTCATCTGCGTATCTGAGGTTACTGATATTTCTCCCAGCAATCTTGATTCTGACTTATGCTCCATCCAGCCCGGCATTTCTCATGATGTACTCTGCATATAAGTTAAATAAGCAGGGTAACAATATACAGCCTTGATGTACTCCTTCCCAATTTTTTTTTTTTCTCCTTTCCAATTTTGAACNGTCTCCACTTCCCACCAGGGAAGGGCAGTCACTTGCAAACACGAACGGGGTTGGAGCAGAGTCCCCGCGCCATTCCTGCCTTAGCCTGGGCCCCAGCCGCAGCCCAGGCTTTCTGCATTTACTCTTTACAGTTGGTTGGTTTGTCTTTGCTCTTACGCTGCTTCCTGTGTTTGTGTTGGCTTTGCCAAGCCCCTTTCAAGTGTGCTGAGTGCACAGAACACACCCTCCCCCACCCCCAGCTTTGTAAAGAGGAAACGTGATCTGGGAGAGGTGACAGCCAGGGTCCCCGCGTTTCATCCCTGGCCGCTGTGAGCCTGCAGGATCCTCTCATAAGTGACCGTCTGCTCCTTGTTTGTCAAATGAACAACAGCTCCAGAAACCCCTTAGTCCTCTACCCAGGTCACAACCAGAAATTCCTTTCTGGCAAAAGGCAGATGGAAACAGCTTCTTCCTCTTTCAGCTCTAATGTCACTCTCTTGTCCCCCTGCGTCCAGCATCAGGGCTTTCTCTGGGTCAGATGGCACCCACTGGGATAAATAATGCCTAAAGATGCCCCTGGCAGCTTAGGAAGGGGCTGGGGAGATGGGGGTAGGATACAGAAGGAAGATGAGGATAGGGAAAGCAGGAAAGGGGGACAGAGGGCATGAGCTGTACATGTAAGAAATGCCCCCACTAAGGCAATCCCCAGGCACCTGGGCCAGAGTCTGCTGCCCCTCACCCAGAAGATGCTGCAGATGTCACATCACTGTTCAGGGTTAAACTCCCGTCAGGATTCAAGGACAGACACCACAAGCCACGGCTGACCCCTTTTCCGTCTGATGTTTCTGCCCCTCCTTAGCAAGGCCATCCTGACTCATGGACTCTGTTTTGTCACCAGTAAACGCCCCGAGGTTGTGACCATGACGGACTGGAAGGCTCCTGTGGTGTGGGAAGGCGCTTATAACAGAGCCGTCTTAGATGATTATTATGCCAAGCAGAAAATTACCGTCGGCCTGACGGTTTTCGCTGTCGGAAGATACATTGAGCATTACTTGGAGGAGTTCTTAACGTCTGCTAATAAGCACTTCATGGTTGGCCATCGAGTCATCTTTTACATCATGGTGGATGATGTCTCCAGGATGCCTTTGATAGAGCTGGGTCCTCTGCGCTCCTTCAAAGTGTTTGAGATCAAGCCTGAGAAGAGGTGGCAGGACATCAGCATGATGCGCATGAAGACCATCGGGGAGCACATTGTGGCCCACATCTAGCATGAGGTTGACTTCCTCTTCTGCATGGACGTGGACCAGGTCTTCCAAGACAAGTTTGGGTTGGAGACCCTGGGTGAGTCGGTGGCCCAGCTACAGGCCTGGTGGTACAAAGCAGATCCCGACGAGTTCACCTACGAGAGACGGAAGGGGTCTGCAGCATACATTCCCTTTGGCGAAGGGGATTTTTATTACCACGCAGCCATTTTTGGGGGAACACCTACTCAGGTCCTTAACATCACCCAGGAATGCTTCAAAGGAATCCTCAAGGACAAGAAAAATGACATAGAAGCCCAATGGCACGATGAAAGCCATCTAAACAAGTATTTCCTTCTCAACAAACCCACTAAAATCTTATCCTCGGAATACTGATGGGATTATCATATAGGCCTACCTGCAGATATTAAGCTTGTCAAGATGTCTTGGCAGACAAAAGAGTATAATGTGGTTAGAAATAACATCTGACTTTGTGCCAGTACATTTCTGAATTTGAGAGAGTATTATTCTGGCTACTTCCTCAGAAAAGTAACACTTAATTTTAACTTAAAAAAAAATACTAACTAAAGACCAACACAGCAAGTACATATTATTTCTCCTTGTAACTCTGAGCCTTGTAATACGAGAGAATGAACCTGTGGTAATCAGATGTAAATTCCCAGTGATTTCTTATCTATTCTCAGTTGTGGGGGTGGGGAACGGATATACAATCAGTTGAACCAAAAAAAAAAAATTTGTCATAGACAAAGAAAAAGCCAGAAGCATTCTACATGTGCCAATTGACTTACTGGAGAGAAGTATGCAAAGGTAAGTGTTTGGCAACAAGATAACGATTGTGAGGGGCTATCCTCTTGATTTCAGTGTCTTCCTGTCACTGCTGGGTCTGAAGCAACTCAGAGTTGCTTTTGCAGCAGGAGAACTCTTAGGAGGACAATCTACCTTGGTGATCCTCAAGTGGTTTAGTCAATGTCCTTTCCTTATCAGGACATTGTTTGGCTTCTGTGCCAAGACTGGTCAAGATTCCCAGTGCATATGGTGAAGATGTTGGGAGCCACAGGCAATCTGAGGGAGCCAGTGGATGCTCAGCGCGAAATGAAAACAAAGCCTCCAAGTAAGTTGGCCGTGAAATAAGCAAAGAGAGAGTAGAAAGACAGGGAGCTGATCACTGTGGGGCAGGGCCTCCTCTGAGGGGCACAGGGCATGCAGTTGGCACATAAATACGGCATGGATCCAGGCAGTGTGGGTGGTCTCCAGTCTCCTCAACCATGATGACAGCCAGAGCAGTGTTGTCTTATAAGATGCTGCTTGTTTTGGCCAAGTCATATTCAGTATGCCAGACTCTGGAACTTGAGTCTTCAGATCCTTGGCCAGAGGAAGTGGATGGTGTCTGAGGAAACAAAAACCTGTAGGGGACTGAAGAGGATTGCCAGGACTTACACTTCCCAGACCTGGGTTTCATGATAGTCAGTTGTCAGCAAGTCCCGCCACCACTTGCTCTAACCCTCAGCCCATCCAGCCCCACGTTGGAGGGCTGCTATCAAGGAACCTCTCATTTCCCCTTGCCCCACCTGCACTACTGAAGTATAACAACCAGACATGTTTAATAAAATGGTTAGTTGATTTTATGTCAAAAGTAGAGGGGATGGCGATGGGAGATCCAGTCCTTGTGACTGAACAACTTACCACTCGACTCCTTTCTCTGAGAGAAGCTATGAAATCTTATATATTATTTAAACTTAAACAAGTCAGTGTAACGGGAGAAGAGAGGCAGCATTTATATATGCAGGCATGTTTATATTTTGCTTGTGTTCCGGTTTACATCATTGCTTCCCATTTTCAAGCAGTTGACTTAAAGGGCCACCTCACTGGCTTGATGCTCAGCCGTGCGGGCTGCTTTGATAAAATGAAACCTCCATTTTCTCTACTGTTTTACTGTGCCTCCTACTCTTCTGTTCTTGCCAAAATTTTTCACAACCCAGTAAAACAAAAGAAAACCAACAAAAATCCTGAAAAAGTGGGCTTGCAAAAGAAAAAGATCAAAAGTCAGTTAGGACTCTTGATTCTGTAAAATTCAAGTTTTGGGGGATCCATTCTGGACTAGGGAGAGTTCATGATTTAAGTCTGAAAGCAAAGGAATGATGTATCTTCAAAGATCAGAAAGGAATGAAAAGGAATGAAGTTTCCTTTCGAAGGGATCTTGATTTTTTTTTTAAAATTCACTTAAATTTAAAATCCAGGTGGAAAAAGTAAAAAATCAATAGTTCAATGTTAAAAAACTAAAATAAAATTCCTGATTTACAATTAAATAAATTATTTTCTCAATAAAAAAAAAAAAAACAAACAAGACAACCATCACAGATTTGTGGTTCAAATTCCCACCACGGGTGGTCAGAAAACAAGGCTCTATACTGCTGGTGGGAAGCAGGATAAATTAGTACAACCACATTTGAATAGTTTTGCATAACCAGGAAAAGTGAGACATGGCAGAAATTCCACTTCTAGTTTACAACTTGGAAAAACTATATAATGTGCACAGCAGGGTTATTCCTAAGAGCAAACACAGGGGAGCGGCTCACAGGCTTCCTGGCAGCAGGAACGACAGGAACTCTGCAGTGCATTCATTCAGTGGAGAGCTGCGTAACAGTGCAAACTCAAGGAGTCACACATGTGCTCCTGGATGTGAACAGAGCCACAGAAAACTACAGTACCACTCCAGGTCTGTGATGTTCAAAGCCAGGCACAGCTAAATAATATATTGTCTAGAAATTGTTCATGAGTGGTAGAACTATCGAGAAAATCAAAAGAATGATTACTACAAAAGTCAGAACAGTTGTGGGGGTCAGGGCACTTAGGGCACTTCTATGGTTACAACCTTTTATTCCTTAACTTGGAGGAAGGGAACATATATGTTCATTTCATTATTTTGTTGTGTGTGTGTGTACTTATTTAACATATGTCTTCTGGGGACTTCCCTGGTGGTCCGGTGCTTAAGACTGTGTATTTCCAACGCAGGGGATGTGGGTTCCATCCCTATTTGGGGAACCAAGATCCCGTATGCCCAGTGGTGTGGCCGGGGGAAAAAAAAAAAGTCTTCTGTGTGATATATTTTGCAATAAACATATGGCAAAAAGAAAAAAAACTATGGAATGCTACACAGCTGTTAAAGAATGAGGCAGACATCTGTCCTGATATGGGAAGATCTCCAAGATACACTGATTAATGAAAAGCACACAGGCAAAGAGAGGATGTAGGAGGAAAAAAGAACGGAAATATACTTCTTTTAAATGGCCATATCATCTCTAAAAGGATAGATAAGACACTTTAACCAGCTCTAAGGAGCTGAACCGGGTTATAAGGAAGAGAAAGCAAAAGGACATTTTTATACATTTAGACATTTGTACCAGGCACAAGTAGTACTGAGCTAAAATATAAAACATTTTTAAGTCAAGTCCTAATCCGCTGGGTTGCTGCTTGGTAACCTGTTAAAAAACTCTACCAGGTTCAAGGGTGGTGCCTCTGGCTGTTACCTGGGTCACACCTGGGCTTCCTTCGCCTTATCAGTAATTGTTTCACCAAATCTCAGGTTTCAGAGTTGGAAGCTCCTCTGTCATCTCACAAGATTTCACAGCAAGGGTACAACTCCAGTCCATCCAAGCCCAGAATCCCACAAAGACCCTGTGATGTTGTGATATAATAAAAAATATGTATTTGGTCTTTGTCCTAGGTTCCTGGAGCAAGAGTTTCTAAAACCCTTGGAATTTCCTGCATGATGAGGTGAGAGGAGCATCTTTTGTTATTTGCAAAACCCCTTTTCAACCACCTGCGCTTATGCTAACACACTGACTCGGTGAGCCCCTAGATACAGCTTCAGGATGGAGGCAGGTTGCCAGAGGAAGCAACCGTGTGATTAGAGGATTGGATTTTCCGCCCTACCTCCAGACTTCTAGGAAAGGGAGAGGAACTGGAGATTGAGTTAGACACCAATGGCTGATGATGCCCACACAATGGAATCTCCACAAATACTCTAAACAACAGCGTTCTGGGAACCTCCTGGTTGGCGACTGCCAGAAGGGTGAGGCACCCCAGCTCCATGGGGACAGAAAATCCTATGCCTGGATCCTTCCAGACCTCACCTAAAGTACCCCTTTATCTGGAAGTTTATTTGTAACCTTTAAATTAAATCAGTAAATATAAGTTAGGTGCTTTTCTGAGTTCTAGGAGCCATTACAGAGGAGAAGGGGACGACAGAGGATGAGCTGGTTGGATGGCATCACCGAGTCGATGGACGCGAGTCTGAGCAAGCTCAGGGAGTTGGTGATGGACAGGGAAGCCTGGCGTGCTGCAGTCCGTGGGCTTGCAAAGAGTCGGACATGACTCTCTGAACTGAACTGATGAGCCATTATAGCAAATTATCAAACCTAGGTGGGAATCCCCTATTTATAACCGGTTGGTCAGAAGTACAGGTAGTAGTAACTATACAGGTGACTGAAGTAGGGACAGTCTTGTGGGACTGAACCCCTAACCTGTGGTATCTGCACTAACTCCAGATGGTCAGTATCAGAACCAAACTAAAGTGTAGATCACCCAGTTGATGTCAGAGAATTTGCTGGCATTGGAAAAAACAGCACACATTTGGCGTCTGAAATGTTGTAGGTTAAAAACACCATCAAAGACCCCTGACTGGGGTCCCATCAGCCACTTGAGTTTACTCTGCTGGGCTGGCTGATCTGGGACAAAAATCTCAAAAAGGCAGTGACTGAATGGTCCCTCTAGGGCCACGGGGCTGCTAGGAATGGCTACATTCCAAATCCAAAACCCTCTGCCCCAGAAACGTCCTTCATCCGCCCACTGGAGAGAAAGACTCTGGTCTCAAGAAAACTCAGTTTGCTCCGGGAATTCTGCGTTGGGCTTAACAGCTCATCTCCAAAAATGGCACCCCATTCCAACTCCCTATTTCTACACCTTTCCACTTCCCCTGCAGAGGACGAGATGGTTGGAGGGCTTCACCAACTCAATGGACATGAGTCTGAGCACACTCCGGGAGACAGTGAAAGACAGGGAAGCCTGGTGTGCTGCAGCCCATGGAGTCACAAAGAATTGAACATCACTGAGTGAGTGAACAGCAGCAACGACCACTTCCCTGACGTCAGTCCTTCGACTGTATGAATGGGTTGCTTTTCCTGCTCAGCATTTCAGGATGGAGGCAGAGTTGCAAATTAGAGCTCTCCAAGTCCTCTCTCCACTCTGCCCCATGACGATTCTTTTGTGTTCACTTCCTCCTTCCCATTGCCACCCCTTCCGTGGTCCACGCAGGCAGCAACAGCAAGTCTGAATTGCAGCAATGGCCTCTCAGAGCTGGTCCCCAACCCTGACCTCTTGCCTCTCCCCATGCCAGGCCAACTGGCCCACTGCTGCCAGAGTTTTCTCAAAATCCCATTCACCTTTGGTGGGGGGCGGGGGTGGGGGCGAGCAGGAGTCGCCAGCTCAAGCATCTTCTCGCCTAAAATGCCAACAGGCAGCTGGGCACACACAGAACCCCCCAGCCCTGATCCTCGCTACTCCCCAACAGCATCCGTTCTGTCAACTAAGTGCCAGGGTCCTGCGGGTTCAATGGAAAACAAAGCAGACACAAATCTCCATCCTCATAGATCATCCGTCGCCTGCCTCCTGCCAGTGAGGCTGGGGGCACCACCCCTTCAGAGCCTGGCTTTTCTCAGCACATGACTTTGCTCCATGTGCCACTGCCTGGTGCCGTGTCCTCCTCTCCACCAACCCAGATGGGACTCTGGGCCAATTCTCCCAAGACATCCTTCCTGAGCAGTTCTCCTCCCGCCCAGTCCCCCCAGCCTGCAGGTCCCTGGCCTCACGTGTTCTGCTCTCCACGGGCCCCATCCACACAGCCACCACCAGGACGCGTCCACCAAGCGTCGGGTCACGTTATTTCACTAAATCCCTCCAATAAGCCCCCTGAGGACGGTCTTTTTTTCTCTCAAGTTTTAAACTTTAACTTTGTTTTGGGAAATAGCTGATTAAGAATGCTGTGGGAGTTTCAGGTGAACAGCGAAGGGACTCAGCCATACGCATACATGCATCCATTCTCGCTGAAACCCCCCTCCCATCCAGGCTTCTCCAGAACACTGAGCAGAGTTCTCTGTGCTGTCCAGTAGGTCCTTGTTGGTTCTCCATTCTGAATACAGCAGTGTGTACATGACCTTCCCAAACCTCCTAACTATCCCTTCTCTTGGCAACCAAAAGTTCGTTTTCTAAGTTTGTGAGTTTCTTTCTGTTTCGTAAGTTTATCTGCATCACTTTTTTTAGACTCCACATATAAGGGGTGTCGTATATTTCTCCTTCTCTGTCTGACTTACTGGACTCAGTATGACACTCTCTAGGTCCATCCAAGTTGCTGCAAATGGCATGATTTCATTCTTTTTAATGGCTGAGTAATATTCTATTGTATGTATATGTGTCACATCTTCTTGATCCATTCCTCTGTCGATGACATTTTAGGTTGCTTCCATTTCTTGGCTTCATAAAACAGTGCTGCAATCAACAGTGGGGTGCATGTATCCTTTTGGATCATGATTTTCTCCAGATATATATGCACAGGAGTGGGACTGCAGGGTCATATGGTAGCTCTATTTTTAGTTTTCTAAGGAATCTCCATATTGGAGATTCTCCACAGTGGTTGTACGAATTTACATTCCCACCAACAGCCCATGAGGAAGGTCTTATTGCCCCTATTTTATAGACGAGGAAACCAAGGCTCACAGGGCCTGGGGAACTCGCCAGAAGTGACAGGCTAAGTGGCAAAAGCCTAAGTTCGAGCTCCCTGGCTCAACCATGGCTATCCCACTCCCCTGGTAATTTTCTACACTCGTTTCTGCATTTAGCATCTCACTGGCCACAGAAACCGCGCTCAGTGAATGGAAACCATGACTGTTCTCATCAACCAGTCACCACAAGAGCGAGCGTGAGTTCGGTTCCGGCACACACATCCTTCTCTCCTCAACCACAGGACAAGCCACCTCGGCTGGGGCCATGTCGTCAGATGCTCTGTGGCCTTACAGCATCCAGCGGCTGTGCCTGCCACAGATGCTGAGCAAAGGCTTGAGGAGGGAACAAACAGCTCCTTGGAATAATGCACAGTAGCAACTTTCGCCTTTCTTAAACCATTCAGTCAATTGCAAAAAGTCAGGATTAGATCA